TTTTAAATCTCCCTTATGAGACAATCTATGTGGGCAGTAGACTTTTACAGAGTGTAATGTATGCTTAATCCCTGAGCAACTATGGTTCTCGAACCATTTGCTGTATATCTATTTCACAAGTACTCCTTGTAAAATAGATACGTGTACGATACGTGAACGATACTAGAAATACAATCGAGAAGGTTTGGTCTTAACAAATAATGAAAACCACTTAAAATGTTTTCTCAACTCAAGCGTTTGTTTACTTATTAAGTGGTGCCTAGATGGTAAATATTGCCTTAGCTTAACAAGGACTTGCTGACTCTTGCTTTAAAGACGCCCATGTTTTTTTATTAAAGAGCCTTTCTCAAAAAATTGTAAAAAAAATATTAAAATATATCTTTTTTTTTCTTAATATGGTTAAGATTTTTCGTTTGATTGTTTATTTTTTCAAAGTTTGCAATTTTAAATTAACGAATAATAAGCAAAATCCAAATGAATGAATTTACTTGTCACAAATATCTATGATATTTTGTTTTATACACACTTTGCGTTCCTCTAAATTTGTCCATGAGTACTCTCGAAAAACCTATACCTTGAAAATAAATCATAGTTTTGGGGGCGTGGCTTATTCCTTTGTCGGTGAAGCTAACGGACGACTGCGGGAGTGTCAAAATGATGCAATGACTTCATAGTACGCAAATTATGAGATAGCCATACCGAGCAAGCGCTCGGAAAAAATCTAAGTAAGCGCCAAACAACATTTTTATTTTTTTAAGCAAAACTACCTTATAGATTAAAAAAATGGTTTGTGAGAACCTAGATACGATTATTAACTATGCCTTAAAAATAATTTCATGAACTTATTCGTAGAAATATTGTGGTGTGACGGAGAAATGTACTCGTAACTAATTAGAGCCTACTTTGCAATTTTTTTCTATCTAGAAAATTATATGATATCGTGTTTTCCTTTTATGCAATCCTAGGACATATAGTCAAAAATCATATACCAAAATTTTGGTTTGTAATCTAAAATACTTAAAAAAATATGTGAAATAGAAAAACCACCAAATTTTCGAGGTATCACCTTAATCTGTGCTAATAGACCTATAGAATGTGCCTGTCGTAAGTTAGCTTAGATTATCGTATAATAATTCGCAGGCTCAAAGAAATCGTAAAAAAATAACGTATTGGTTTCAGAACACTGCGCTGTGGTTATATCTGAATATTTGACGTCACATCTAAATTGGTTTAATATCAGATAAAGAAACGCGTCATTAAAGATACAAGCTTAATCTGGATATGTTTCTTTTATAGAATAAGGGTGACAAACGAGCACACAGTCCACCTGATGGTAAGTGGTTGCTGCGGCCTATAAAGATCTACATCTATCCTCGATTACGAATCAAAATGCAAATGCGTTGTCACCCGTGAGAACGAATATGGAATGCCTCGTTTCCAGTAAAAAAGGTCTCCGGTTCTCTACACTCACCATACGAAACACAGCAGCATTAAGCTACTATTTTACACTGGTATTCTCGAGCCGACCCATCCGTGTCACAACCATACTACTAATAAAACTGCAGCGTGGCTCTAACACGTATAAAATATAAATATATAATACTCAACATACATCTTAAATTCACTTTATAAACTCTGGGATTATGTAGGATCAATCTGCGTATTTTGGTAAGAAACTTCACTGAATACAGCTTTTGTGCACATGTCCATCTTGGGACTAAGCAACTCAAAGACGTGTCGATTCTATTCCTTAATAGAGGAAACACCTCTGCATATCCTATCTGATTAAATTTACAGCTTACATACGACCCACCGCCGGGCACAGGCCTCTTCTCATTTCTGAGAGGGTTTTAGGGTAAAAATCTGCCGCGCTGTTCCAATGCGTCTTGGCTAACTTCACATGCCTTCGAAATATTTTCTTTCTTATTTCTTAGACATGCAGGTTTCCTCACAATACTGTCCATTACTGCCGAGCACGTGGTAAATCAGCGCCAAATTTCAATTAACAATTTCATTGATTCCAGCAGGGTTCGAACTCGGGTTACTCTCGTACTTTGAAAAATTTACAGCGGGCACTTAACCTATGACTCTTAATACGGAAACGTAACACTCATGTGGGAAACTATGTACCGAACACAGAAGAAGTAAAATTGTTCATAGCCTAAGCAACTCGTTTAATTCATTGAAGATATAGGGCTCAGCAGTGAACTCTACATCTAATCGAGCACCCTCGTCCGTTTGATCTCCGCTGCCGAGGGAAACATTTTAGTAATACAAATATATTCATGTATATTTATTATTTCATTTTATATATTTAATCAGCCCAACCAGATGAGAATACTCTATAAATACCCCCTAATAATAATACGTGTAAAGTAAATATTTTTTTTAAATACTAGCAATGCTATTATACCTAAAAACTACATAATAACTAATATTCTCTTTAACCACCCTTGGGAAGCTTAAAATGTTTGTGCTAGAAGTGGTTCATGGCAGTGGTGGAATGGCGGATTCTAACCCACAACCTTTGACCTGCAAGTTCAAAGATTCGAAATTGAAACTTTTGCACAACGCTATATCAGTTTAAATTCGGAAAGGAGACATTTCAAAACTGTATGAAGTGTAGACCTAGTTTTATACCAATAGAGAAATGAATTAAAATAGAATATTAAACCACTTTTGATTATTTGAATTCACGAATTTGCCTTTATTTCAGTGGTATTAATATTTTATCTCACCAAAAAATACAACACTAATGGCGGTTAGAAATCGTTTCGACCTTAGCTCTCAACTATCATGAGGTTATTGATCCATTTGTTGATGGCTCTTTGAATTCTGAAATGCTGTGTTATCTTTATCACTTAACAAATACTAAATCGCCAACACAACAAACTTGGAATAATTAAAAATATCAAGCTACCTTCATTATTCCATGCGTCTTTTTTATAATCGAAGGGCGCCATCTTGTGAAACCATCAAAAACTTGGGATTGTATTTTTATTTTTAGCATGTTATTTAGTTTGATTTATTCTCTTATTTTATTTTATTTTTTAAATCCCTGAAATTTCCACATTTTTTACGGTACAATACCGTACATAGACTTGACCTGAAATGGATCATCTCCTTTTATAACATTCTATTGTTTGACTTTCAATGAAGCTTAATAACCTTACTCTCACAAGATGTCGCTAGTTACAGTGTCATCGTCATGTTGTTGGTGATTTCTAGTGTTCATTTTGTGGGTGATGTACATAAATCAAAAAAATGTGTTAAAATTAAGGAAAACAATACATAGGTGCTGTTTTCATTAATTTAATTTAACACAATTTTATGTTTTTTTTTTATTTTTTTTTATTCTTATACTTTTAGGGTTAAACATGGTTTTGTTTATCTATTTCTAATCTAAATGATATAATATATAACTAATATTTCAGAAAGAAATTAATCTGTATTAATCTGTACACTTTTCTAACAAAATACCTTCCCCTGCTATGAGTTCTGTCAAATATTTCACCTCAGTTGTAAGTGGCGCTGCCCTGGTGGTTTATAGACTGAGGCACCATCCAGTTTTCGGAATCAGGCTTTGTACAAACTAAATAATACGTAAATAATAAGTTTTTACGGATTTTATCGCCTACATCTGAACGTTGAATACATAGAATACTAGTACCCGGTTGACCGAGCTTTGCTCGGTATTTTTCGCTCTGTTTTTTTTTTAATTCGTGTGTTTTGGAAATTATATTTAGATACAAATTACATACTGATGAAACACGAATAATATTTTTTGATCTTAGCGACATAATAGAAAAAAACTGAACTGGTTATTTGAATAAAAAATCATGAGTGCAATTAGTTTAATTTAAATTTTCGTGTTTTTAAAAAATATTAAAAAAAAAGCTCGAAAAAATAGATTTTCTCGAAAAAAAGGAACTTGGAAAAAAAAATTAAAAAAATTCGGTCGGTCGGTCTGGGCTCGAACCAAGGTATTACGATTTTGTGACCGCCCAATATACCAATTAAGCTTTTGGTAATCATTTAATATACTGTCAAAATTTACCTTCTTATTCTAACGATATTGACGCAGTTTTTCATTGCCTAAAAAAGACATTTTCTAAAAATAAATCCTAGCTAGATCGATTTATTGCCCCCTAAACTCCCTGCACACAAAATTTTATGAAAATCGTTGGAGCCGTTTTCGAGATTCCGATATATATATATATATATATATATATATATATATATACAAGAATTGCTCGTTTAAAGGTATAGGATAATACATACATAATAGAACGGGGGTGTAGGCGGAGCTCGTGTAGCCACTAAAATGCCGCAAGACGTCAATTCACACGTATAAATGTCAACACGAGATGTCTTTTGACGTTACAATCGTTTCCAAATTTCGCATGCAAATATTTAGAAAATGCCAAATTGCACGCTATAAAAGTCTGTCAACACAGCGAATCGGGTTTGTATTAGTGACAAACTGATAATACGACATAAATGCTTATATGTGTGCTCCTGGCGACGCCGAACCTCGGTACAAAATAAGGTTGACAGCCATTCTATTGTGTATTATAGTATTCTATGGTTGAACATTTCAGTTCTCAGTGACGCGCGTGACGTGCGCGCTGCAAAGCACTCGAAACATCGGGTTTATAAAAAAGTTAATATACGCGATAAAATCCGTAAAAACTTGTATAATTTAAATTTGTAGAGTTCGCGTAAATATAAGAAATCACTTTGTCCACGCTATCTAGAACTACCACAAGTTAGTAGTAGTTCTAGAGACATTGTACAAGTCATTATTTTTATCATGAGTTAAACAATTATACTTTTATCATTGTTTTAAATAGTGTCGTTTATAACAACGCATCTTAATTTTTATTTATCTATTAAATTCTACATCTCTATGCTACATCAGGTTGACTATGTGTTTTTGTCACCCGTTGTCACCTCTTTAAAAATATGATAAAAGAGTATTTTTCCTTTTGCAGAGAGAAATGGGAGGGGATCGAGAAGGCAACGGAGATATAGGAGAAACACAAAGTGAACAAAACCAAAAACACCAAGCAAAAGAAGACAATAATGGAATAACAAATACAAACGCAAGTGAATCTAGCAAAGCCAAAGACAACTCTGATGATAACAGTTCGAAAGTGACCAACTACATACAAAATATAAAAATATCTAACTCGAGTACCGGCCTCGCGTTAAACGACAAAGAAAATAGTAAAGCTAATCCACTACTCATAGATTCTAAAACTGTTGTCAAATTTTCGCCAGTATGGAAACAGGTAAGCTATTGCATACATTTAATATAACAGTCTGTTAAAATTCAACGACTGAACATAGGCACAATATCTATGGAGACAATCTTGTCTCATATGAGGATATTTTCCCCAGTAGCCATGCTTTATAATCGGGTTGGCTACCATAAAGCTTTTTTTTTACGTGGTCGGCTTTATCGCGGTAAAATAGCATCGTAATGCTCCTGTGTTTCGTGTGGTGAGTGTAGTGAACCGGAGACCCTTCATATTGGAAACGAGGCATTCAATTCAGTCTTCGGAATTGACCAAGCATCTGCATTTTGATTCTTATTTGAAGATACATGTAGATGAGTCTTTGGACCACAGCATCCACTCACCACCAGGTGAACTGTGTGTTCGTTTGTCACCCTTATTCTAATAAATAAGGTTAGTTAAAAGTTAATGGTTACAAGAACTCTGTTGCTCGTCTGCTGGTTTATTTCTCGCTGTCGCCTTTTACAACTTTCTTTATGATATTGTTGCGCGCCTAAGTTGACGTCTGGCACTAGCGCCATCTGTGTCAAGTAACGGAGCGAGGAGAGCTTTCCAGAAAATGACATTACTAATCTTTCAACCGACAGCGCCATCTAGTATCAAAATGAAGAACTAAGCTTTCTAGAAGCCCGACACTCGAACTTTCGGCGCCTAGTCGATTGGCGCGCGTATTTACTTGAATATTCTGGACGTTTCGGTGATAATGTGTATTTAAAGGCGCTGCAAGATGCGATCGAGGAAGTATTGAATTTGGCGAGACAAGCGAAGCTTCGGGAAGGAAATAAAGCGAATCAGTGTGATTAATTATTAGTGTTTTAAGTTTAATTAGTGTAAAGTGAATTAAAGTGTTAATGTTGGTAATTCAATCGGCAGTTTTTACTGTCACGAACCTCAAGCTCGTAACAATTGGTGTCAGAAGTGGAAGCCATCTCCTTAAAAAAAATCATGCCGATTTTACCTAAGGAGGAAACGGAGGGTGTCCGTACCCGAAGTCAACGACAGCAGGAGACGGACCAAAGAAGATTTAGTGGTGCAACGCCGCAGACGTCGGAGGGCCAGCCACCGGCTGGAGGCCCGTCAGTAGCTCCTACATCTGCAGCACCTGACTTAGGTGCTCTGATGGTGATGCTGCAGGAGCAGGCTCGCCGACAGGAGGAGCAGGCCCGTTGGTTTAAAGAGCAGCAGGAGGAACAGGCTCGCCGACAGGAGGAACAGGCTCGCCGACAGGAGGAACAGGCTCGCCGGCAGGAGGAACAGGTCCGTCAGTTGAAAGAGCATCAGAAGGAACAGGCCCGCCGACAGGAAGAGCAGATGCTCCTTGTGAAGGACATTCACGCTAACTTCGGGATAGAGATAAGGGAGGTGAAGGATCGGGTTGCTCCACCTGACACCCGCCTGTCGGAAGCTGAAATCCAAATCAAGGAAGCTAAAACCCAAATCGACCAAGTGAACAATCGGGTTGATTACGTGGTGGCTGAAGTGACGAAAACGCTGGACGACCTCAAACTGGGGGATGGAATTACAGCTCCCGTAGTAGCTACAACACCTTCGCTACGTGGATTCAAAGTGCCGCCATTCGACGGGACTTCTTCCTGGTCGGCCTACAAAATCCAGTTCGAGGCCGTCATGGAGGCGAACGGCTGGAATAAAAGCCAAGCCATGACTGCACTCACCTTAGGCCTGCGCGACCAAGCCTTAACTGTGTTGGAAGCTCTCGGTAAGAAAGTGACCAAAGAGCAGCTCCTTGAGGCATTGGACGCGAGATATGGCAACGCTCACCTGGAACACGTCTTTCGCGCGCAGCTTAAATATCGCGTGCAACGCAGCAACGAAAACCTGCAGTAGTGGGCCCTTGAGGTGAAGAAGATGGTTCGAAAAGCATACCAGTCTGTACCTGCGCTCATTGAAGGGAACCTGGTTCAGACATTCATCGACGGCATCCGCAAACTGGAAGTCAGAGCTGCTGTGAGGCTCGGGCACCACGAGACGCTTAAGGACGCCTTGGCCCATGCACTGGAAGTGGAAGCCGTGCGACAGGATCATCGTTCCCATCGCGTCAGGGAGGTTGCAGCAGCTACAGTTCGCGACCGCAACAAAGGATACAGCCCTAGGTGCTATGGCTGTGGGGAAAGGGGCCATCTTCGATCTGGCTGCCCTAAGCGAACCCTAGAAAGGGAAGGTGAACGATCTCAGAAGGGAAGTGCGGCTAACATCACCACCCAGCAACAGCCGGGATACGACTTTACTATCAGACATCGCAGCGGGAAATCTCATGGAAACGCAGATGCATTGTCAGAAGACCTTGTCCTGAAGATTGGAAACATTGTACTAGGCAAGAGAGTAAGGAAGTGGTAACCGTGAGGATGCTCAGGACAGACCACCTCAGCAACGAGTGGAAGGACAGCCTATGACATGCACAGCGGGAAGATCCGGACATCAAGCCGATTCTGGAATGGATGAAGACCCGTGCTACCAAGCCTAAGTGGAGCGATGTCTCAGCGATGAGTTCGACAACTAGAAGCTATTGGGCCCAATGGGACAGCTTGCTGATTCAGGATGCAGTCCTGGACGTAAATGGGACAATGGTCGAAGAGACAGCTGTCGTTTTCAAATGGTTGTCCCTAAAGCTAAAGTGCCGAATGTTCTACAGCTGTGCCATCATGGTCGTTCAAGAGTCCATCTGGGAGTAACGAACTCTACTAAAGGTCCGAGAACTATTTTACTGGGTCCATTATCGTGACGATGTCGAGGATTGGTGGTTGTCGTACATGTCCAAGTTGTGCGGCTGTGAGGGGACCTCAGACACGTAGTAGAGGAGCATCGAAATTGTACAATGTTGGTGCACCATGGGATAGGACAGCCCTTGACATTGCGGAGCCGTTACAGAAAGGCGCAAGAGGGACTCCTCAGACCGTCCATGTGGATTGCCTGGCGCGTTATTATGGGGCCGAAAATGCTCGGGACGAGCATGTCTTAGGAGGGGCAGTGTTGCGCGCCTAAGTTGACGTCTGGCACTAGCGCCATCTGTGTCGGGTAACGGACCGAGGAGAGCTTTCCAGAAAATGACATCACTAATCTTTCACCGACAGCGCCATCTAGTATAGAAATGAAGAACTAAGCTTTCTAGAGGTCCAACACTCGAACTTTCGGCGCCTAGTCGATTGACGCGCGTATTTACTTCAATATTCTGGATGTTTCGGTGATAATGTGTATTTAAAGGCGCTACAAGATGCGATCGGGGAAGTATTGAATTTGGCGAGACAAGCGAAGCTTCGGGAAGGAAATAAAGCGAATCAGTGTGATTAATTATTAGTGTTTTAAGTTTAATTAGTGTAAAGTGAATTAAAGTGTTAATTTTGGTAATTCAATCGGCAGTTTTTATTGTCACGAACCTCAAGCTCGTAACAATATTATTGATATGGGATGGGATAGTATACATTCTTGGATCACCACTACACAGATATTCATACCAACTATAATTTTTAAAATTGTATTTCATTGTAGGGATCATCAGATGACTGAAAACTCTGACCTAAGGTAAAAAATAATAACATTAATCATAAACTTAATGTTATTATAATATGTTACTACTTCAATTTTTCTTTAGTACAAATAACACTTTATGAGCATTAAAAACAAAAATTGTTAAATATATTTTTAACATGCTTTTATAGTCTAACCCAGGGTGGCGAACCTTTATGTATCAATAAGCTATTTTTCTAAAGGAATGTTTAATTTGGTAATAGACGTGCCGTAAAGTATATATGACTTCGTAATTATGGGAAAAATAATATTACGAAATACTATCGACTCAAAATGCTTTCTTTACTAAAAAAAATAGTAAAGAGTTTTGAGTTAAGACATGCATTCTGCGTCATTATATGCTCGCTGGTTTGTGAAATGTCGAAAGGTAATTGCTTATTCATTGACAGTAGGTAGCCGCACCTCGGCTATAACCCACTTTCAGACGTCCAAATAATGTACAATTTTTCAGCTGTATTAAGAAACTTTGACAAAGACCGGGGACGGACCACGCCCTCAGAGTACCAAAGTAAAATAGAAGCTCAATGCTGCTGTGTTTCATATGGTGAGACCCTTTTTACTGGATACGAGGCATTCCATATTAATCCTCAGGGGTGACACGAATCTACATTTTGATTCTTAATCGAAGATAAGAGTAAGATGTCTATGGGCCACAGCATCCACTTACCATCAGGTTGGCTGTATACTCGCTTGACATCTTTGTTTCACAAAAAAAATCTGTCAGTGGCGTCAGAATTGATGAGTGCTTTATGCCCATCCCAAAAGTTCTCTACGTGCCTAAAGAAGTTGCCATTAAAAAATCTAGTATATTAGGACACTAAGACCTACACAGCTCATCATCAATACCGATCGTTTTAATTTATTTTAAAATCTAATTCATCATTCATCATTACAGCCCTTCACAAGTCCACTGCTGAACATAGGCCTCCCCCAAGGAATGCCATATAGCACGGTCCTAAGGCACCTGCATCCATCAACTTCCTGCATGTCTTACCAGGTCTTCACTCCATCTAGTCGGGGATCGCCCTACACTACGCCTACCAATACGAGGCTGCCACTCGAAAACTTGACGGTTCTCTCTGTCGGGTCACTCTGGTTTTACTGCAGATTTCTAAGTTTATCACATAGAGAAACCCCGAGCATAGCATCTCCATAGCTCGCTGAGCGGCCTTGAGCATCCTCATACGGCCAGCAGTGAAGGACCACGTCTCAGCTCCGTACGTCATCACTGGCAACACGCACTAGTTGTACAATGTAGTTTTCAGGTTTTGAGGTATACCTGACGAGAAGATGTGTCGTAATTTCCAGAACACTGCACAGCCGACTTTAATCCGAAGATTGACCTCTCTGTCGAAGTTGGACTTACCTAGTCGGACTATTTGACCCAGGTAAACGTACTCGTCAACAACTACGAGCTTAGTGCTCCCAATTACTACCGACATAGGTGTGAC